TTGGCGAGTGAGCAGTGACCTATGCCCGGTCCTGCACTTACCTGCTGGCCCTGTGACTGGGCAAACTGCTGTCCCCACACCTCAACATTCCCAGCTATAAAGTGGGCGCAGTGCTGGCCCTGCCCCTTCCAGTGGGAATTAAGGAGCAGATATGTGCAGAGTGTCCCACACAGAGCAGAACACATACAGTCTGGCTTAGTGTCATTTATTGTGGTCATTTTTGTTTTCTTGTTTTTGCCCTGTGACTCTTTCCAGAACCATTTGGTGGCTTTGGGACCTGGGCAGAGTTGCTGATGAGCCCTGATTTCAGTAGAGCTGAATGAGACCTTTGTGTCCCCTCCTCTGGGGCTCGCTCATTCATTCAGTAAATATTCTCTGGGAAGAGAAGCTTCTTGATGTGCATTTGGGCGTCAGTCAGGGGCTTTGGGGGTGCCTTTGGTGGGCATTTTCCATCAATCAGCAGCCCCAGGGGGACTCCTCTGTGCTTCACTTTCTCTGTCTGTAAAATGGGAGCCATAATTGGACCTACCTCCTTGCGCTGTCCTGAGCTTGTGAGAGCTGATGCTTCACATAAGGATTAGAACAACGCCTACTGGTGGCCAAGTGCTTGGATGACTCTTGAGCCTGAGGCAGGAGGAGGGCAAGTTTCAGGCCAGCCTGGGCAAAGTAGCAAGACCCTGTCTCAAAATAAAAAGTGCCGGGGATGTAGCTCAGATGTAGAGGTTGAATGCTCTTTGTTTTTATAGGGGGAGGGTACCGGGGATTGAACTCGGGGACATTTGCCCACTGAGCCACATCCCCAGTCTCTACCACAAATTTTGTATTTTATTTAGAGACAGGGTCTCACTAAGTTGCTTAGTGCCTCACCTTTGCTGAGCCTAGCTTTGAATTTGCGATCATCCTGCCTCAGCTTCCTGAGCCGCTGGGATTACCGGCATGTGCCACCATGCTGGGTAGAATGTTTTTTAAAAACAAACAAAAAACACAAACCCCAGAGTATGGCAAGAATACAGTAGATGTCCTTCACAGGAAGACTTGGGAACAGGTGTAAGAAGCGTTCCCCACCCTGGCCTGGATAGTGACAGGGCGTGGGAGACTCCTGCAGCTGGGCTTCAAGATTCTGAAGTATGGCAGTGGACAGGGTCAGGTATTCCAGACAAAGGAGCAGGTATGTACAGAGGCCCAGGGGAGGTGGCCATTAGTTGATGCTGGCTGCATACGTCTGTAAAAGAGCCAGAGAGGTTCCAAGTCCAACCATTTCTTTTGTTTGTTCATGCCATAAACATTCATTGAGCTTCTGCTGTATGCTAGGAGCTGGCTCTCAAGCAGGTAGTGTAGCCTCAAGGAGCCCACATGCTGACAGGGATCATCACTGATGAAGTTGCCTTGGCTTCTGTGGGATAGCATGTGACCCGTGTGTTAGAGGACAAGTCTAGGTCTTGACACATCTGGCAGGCTTCTTTGTGTTCCACTGGAAGCAGACAGAGAGTGGACAGGACAGGGAACAACTAGCACCACTGCTCAGAGGTGGCCAGTGTGGCTGGCAGGCCACTTGGGCTGGGTGGGGCTGGAATCAGAGCTCTCTGTGCTCCTGAGAGTCAAGAGAGCAGCGCCTGCCTTACCTGTGTCACAGCCTGAGTGTGTGGAACTGTAGGGCTGCCCAGGGACAGATGCCCTTCAGCAAAAGGCAGAAGGAGGTGGCCCAGGGCAGATGTGGCCCACTTCCTTTCTGCCTGCCAACTCTTTTACCTTTTTTTGGTGGTGCTGAGGACTGAACCCAGGGTGCTCTACCTCTGAGCTACACACCAACCCCTTCTGTCTTTGAGACAGGATCTTGCTAAGTTGTACAGACTGGACTCAAACTTGTGATCCTCTTGCTTCAGCCTCCCGAGTCACGGGGGGCTATAGGCAGTCATCACCATGCACAACCTGCCTGCCTGCCTTTCCTGACTGCTCACTGTGCAGAGTATCTGCTGTGTACAGAGCACCCTCCCAGCAAGTGCAGTTCACTGTGCCAACTGGGGTATCCTGCCACCAACTACAGTGTCATCAGGGAGACTCGGAGATGGTGGGGGTGGCCCTATCATTACTGCTACCCTGTAGGTGTGCCCAGTGTGATGGGGCAACACAGGGAGAAGGTGCACATGAAGCAGAATATGGCCAGAAGAACTCCATTCTGAGTTCTGACCTCCAACTTGAGACCCTCTCAACAATTCCTAACAAATGTCACTTAAGGTGGATGTTTGTGTGACCTGCTTGGCAGATGAGGAAACCAAGGTTTGGAGAGGTCCAGTCAGGTATCACAGGCCACACCACCAACACTGGCTCCCTTTGTCACGTGAGCCTCAGGTGGGCAGGGTTTTTTTCTTGTTCTCCATATGTCCCCAGGGCCCAGCGCACTGCCTGGCACACAGCAGGCTTCAGTAATATTGGGGGAGTGAATGAGGAAGTGGACAGAGGCCCCATTTGTCCTCAGAGCTCTCCCACCTGTTCTCCTTCCTGACTGCCGCCCCTGCCCTGTCGGGGAGTGGTATAGGATGGCACCATCCACTATTCCTGCTTATCAGGGATTCTGTGCCTGACTTTGTGCCAGAGCAGAGAAGGCATTTCTTATTCTCCATCCTGAAGAACAAGCATAGATGTATGGTCCCCAGCAGGGGTAAGGCCCAGGCCTAGCCAGGCTTGGGAGGGAGAAAGGAGACCCTGATAGGTAACTGCTAAAGCATGAATTGTTCAGCACCGAGGACAGCGGAAGACATAATGCCATTTTGATTATCTTGTACTTAAGGGGGGGCCCTTGACCATGAGAGTTGAAGCCTCCACTGGGGAGCAGGCACAGGTCTGCCTGTCCTGAGAGGGCCTGGCAGAGCAAGAGAGGCCTTTGCACCCTGTGAGTCTTGTGAATGTATTCCTTTTTATTTGTTGCTTTATATTTATTTGTGTAGACATCAGTGCGCTATTATTATAACATTTAAATAGGATAACAGCAGCCAGTTCTTACTAAGCTCTTCCTAGGTTCTAAGATCTTTATATTTATTGATTCAGTCTTTATTACACTCATAAGGTAATCAGGGTTATCTAACCAGTAAGTGGCAGCATTGGGATTTGAACCCAGGCTCCAGAATTCATCTTCTTGACCATATTCTAGAGAGGCAATAACTTTTCCTTGGTTATCACCCCGGCACCCCAAATTGGGCTCTTTCCCAGAGGATACCATTTCAGGATGGGTTTGCTTCTGCCATGCCCTTCTTGCTCACCTACCCACCCCCACTCCCCATACTGGGGATTGAACCCAGGGGTTCTTTATCACTGAGCTACATTAAAAATTTCTTCTTTTGTAGTTGTAGATGGACAGAATGCTTTTATTTAATTATTTTTATGTGGTACTAAGAATCGAACCCAGTGCCTCACACATGCTAGGCAAGCACTCTGCCCCAGAGCTATAGCCCCAGCCCCCACCCCAGTTCTTTTTTTATTTTGCTGAGGCTGACCTCAAACATGATCTTCTTGCTTCAGCTTCCCAAGTAGCTGGGATTATAGGCACACACCACCATGCTGGGCCTGGCTTACCATTTAAATATGTTTATGTACATATGTAGTTTGATTTTATGGAACTGTTTATAGAAATAGAATGTACAGTTTGTGTTCTGTGGTTGGCCTTTTTTTGGTACTGGGGATTGAACTTAGGGATGCTTAACCACTGAGATATATCCCCAGGACTTAAGAAATTTTTTTTGTAGTTGTAGATGGACAGAATGCTTTTATTTATTTATTTTTATGTGGTACTAAAGATCGAACCCAGTGCCTCATACATGCTAAGCAAGTGTTTTTGCCACTGAGCTACAGCCCCAGCCCCCAATCCAGGCCTTTTTTGATATTTTATTTAGAAAGAATGTCTTGCTGAGTTGCTTAGGGCCTCACTAAGTTGCAGAGGCTGGCTTTGAACTTATGATCCTCCTGCCTCAGCCTTCCAAGCCACTGGGATTGCAGGCGTGCGCCACCTGGTTTGCCTTTTTTGCTTAATGGTGTGCCTTACAGCTCTCTGGGTGGTGGTAGAATAGATCTTCCTCATCCTTTCAAGCTGCTGTGGAATATTCCAGCCTGCAGTTGTACCACAGTTTATCTCACTAGTTTCTGGCTGGTGGGCATTTGGTTCTGTCTATTTTTTTCACCATTAAAAACACGGTGGCAGGAGATGCCTCACAGGGAATTGTCCTGTACGCAATGCCTCTCTGTGTATGTCTCTTAAGTGAAAGTGGAATGATGGGTCTGACGTTGCTCTTGGCAGATTGTCTTGTAACCCACCTGGGCTGGCAGAGCGCTCGCCTAGCAATGTGTGAGGCACTGGGTTTGATCTTCAGTACCACATAAAAATACACATAAAAATAAGCAAAATAAAGGTATGAAGAAAAAAAAAGTCAGATCACCTGATGGAACATTGTAGGAAAGTGCCTGTTGCAACGCTGGGTATTATTGGTAATTTAAAATTTTAATCTAATTTTATTTTAGACACAGGGTCTCACTAAGTTTCCCAGGCTGGCCTCTAACTTGTGATCCTCCTGCCTCAGCCTCTTAAGTAGCTGGAATTACAGGTGTGCATCACCCCACCTGGCTTCTGCTTAATTTTTTGTTTGTTTCTTTTCTGCTCTGGGGATTAAACCAATGGGACATCTACCATTGAGCTACATACCCAGCCCTTTTTTAAATTTCAAGACAGAATCTTGGTAAATTGAGGAGACTGGACTCAAACTTGCAGTCTTCTTGTTTCAGCATCCCCTGAGTGGCAGGAATTATAAGTGTGCTAATTTTTGATGTTGTGTGGGGTGAATAATTTGTCTCCTGTTGGTGGTTTGAAATATAGCAGTCCTGCTTATCCAAGGTTTCGTGTGTGTGTGTGTGTGTGTGTGTGTGTGGTCTTAGTTACTTGTGGTCAACCAGAATACAAAAATATTAAATGGAAAATGCCAGAAATAAATAAATAATTCATAAATTTTATATGTGCACACGTCTGTGTGAGGAAATCTCCTAGGATGTGGAACTAACTGTCTAGTCTGGACATTAGTCATTTGTTTGTTGTGTCCATGGCATATATGCTGCACTCCTGTCACTCACCAACCAGAGCCGTTACAGGGTCGAGTTAGTGTCCCCAGGTTCAGGAATACACTGGAGGTCTTGTACTGTACCCTGGGAACACAGCGGGAGCCCTGCATCTGTGACTCACCTGCAGGCCCACTTCTCATTGCCCACCTCCGTGTCTTTCAGCCTGGCTGCCCCACCTCGGTCTCCACCATGAACGGGCCCACTCTGCAGCCTTCCTCGACCTCCTCCACGCCCTTGGCCTCCTCCGCCTCCCTGCCTGCAGCGGCGACCCCGTCCCCCCGGGGCTGGAGCGAGTTCTGCGAGCTGCACGCGGTGGCCGCCGCCCGCGAACTGGCCCGCCAGTACTGGCTCTTCGCCCGCGAGCACCCACACCAGGCGCCGCTGCGCGCCGAGCTCGTGTCGCTGCAGTTCACCGACCTCTTCCAGCGATACTTCTGCCGCGAGGTGCGCGAGGCCCGGGC